ATAATGAACCTAGAAAAAGTGAGTGCATCCGAGTTGGTCAATTATCATGATAGATTTGCCAAGCTGACACTTTAAAGCTTGGTAAGCAACTTAATTGCATCTAAACCCACACATATTCTTAAGCAACTTTTCCAACTAAAGCTTTACTCTATTAGCCAAATGCCTATTTATCCAGAGATTCTGGATTCCCCCTGAAAGTATGGCACAAAGACAGCTTACACAGTAGCAAGAGCCTGTGATAACAAAGAGTATAAAGAAGAAGCCAAGCCATATAGTAGCTTCATGCACATGGATTATCCTAAAGGATAAACAGGCCAGGAAAACCACATCATCTAAAAGATTACACTTCATAACTGCAGAATGGAACCACTAAGACAGTAACTTCAGATTTTGTTAAGGCACATAGATGCATTTTCCCTGTTTCCCAACTGAGACAACATCTGTGTGGAAAGTCTTGGATATATCATTAGCTACAGTTTTTCAGAGACACACAAATATTTATTCTTTTATTAGGAAAACAAGAAGTGAAAAGTCATTTTTCAATTCTTGCATTAGGAATGCTGCTAAAAGAGTATACTGTTTGTCACAGTAGCACAGGAGACTGTGATTAAAGAGCAGGATTCAACACACAACATTACTCAAAACATCCGTGGGAGTTTATCAAACTAGAGAGCTAAAAGTCTGCGACCAAGGAACACAGACTACCATTAAATGCAAATGTTCTAGCTGCACTATGGCACAAATTCCATCTCATCCCAAAAATGCTTCTGAAATGTCCTTCACAGAATTATTCCCTGTAAAATCCACCGACACTAAAGATGGAAGAAAAATTAATTTTTTCTTTAAATACAGATATAGAAAATCCATTTCCCCCTGAAATCTGAAACCCTTCTATTTATTCTACAGCTGTTTGAAAACGACTGAGAGTACAATAAGTCATAAAATTCACTGACTTCAGTGAAATTGTAAGTCAAATGACTGATTATTTAATTTCATCTTTCAGAGATGAAATCAGAAGGTAGATGTATAGTACAATAAACAGAATTAGCCAAGTTTACCTGAAAGTATAAATTTCTTCCAGCCCTCCTTCTCCATCCAAAGCATACATGAGTTTCCTCACCACATCAATGCCTTGCTTCTGTTGTTTAGTTAAACACTTTCTTGGAGCAGAGTTTCTGTGCATATGAGAAGGTACACTGGCACTGGTATCTGCACTTCCACCATCAGCATCCACTGGAAATGGCAGACTAAGAACACAAGCAGAAGCAGTTAGTTTGACTTTCTTCTTTATTAAAATAATCAAGCAAAACAATAAAAAAATTTTATCATGATGAACAATTTCTGTCTAGCTGGAGTCATGCATAAAGAGCCACACAGCTCCCAAAACAAATGAAGTAGCATTTTGGGTCAACTTGGTATAGATAACACCTTGCCCAGAGTGATGCACCAGTTCTGGGTGTAAATAAAGACATCCACATACAGGAATGGATTAGGTAGCAAAGACAGTGTTGATTAGAAAACAAGATCTGTGAAACAAGATTGAACAAAATAAAGCCATAGAGAAGGGAGTCAGAGGGCAAAACAGCCTTACACAGAAAAGGCTGTTGCAGAGAGAAAGGAAACAATCAGTTCTTCATACTCAGCCTGCACTCCAATCACACCATCCAGTCAGGCCAGATATTCAAAAAACTGATAAAGGCATTTCAAACCATAATCTCTAAAACAAACTGCCTGAAGAGATAGAAGAGGAAATCTTTATCAGAAGATTAGACAAACACTGCTCAGCAATGACATCCATACACCTGAACCAGTCTGAAGCAGAGGATTGATCTAGATGACTTGTCAAAGGCCATTCCAGACCTGTGATTCTGTGTTGGCTCCAAATGCAGTGAGGCTATTAGGTATTTCTGGACTAAATGTTACTCTTGGAGATTTTAATAGCTTACAACAGTAGGTGAATTTCTGACTGAAGATGACACATTTTCCTGCACTTCACAAATCAGATTAAAAATTTAGCCAGGGGTTATAGATAAAATTATTTTGCTGATCTTCTAAATATAGAGGAGTTAACTAAGTCTAACAAACACAGAAAAGAAAGATGTGTAAGATCCTCTACTCTGGGCCCCTGACAACACCTGCAGATTTTTCAGGTCTTTGATCTGATCCAATTTTGAATGAACCACATGATGCCTTTTACCACATTTCCACAAAGTAAAATAACTTTAGCATTGTAATAGGTTTTCAAAAAAGGAACATACAGCTCTCTACCATACATTCACCTCATTAGTCCTCACTAAACTCGTCTGTGAAGCAACATATAACAGGCAGAGTTAACAACATGCACAATGTCACACACAGCAAAATTAAAGATCAAGCTTCAGCAAAGCGTTTGGTACCCTTTTAGGAAGCAGCCTCCACTTGACAAATAGATAAACTCTATTTTAAATCTGTTATGACAACAGCAAAAAGCTTCAAACCTTTGATACATAAAAGTTAGGCTACTTTCACGATACAATGCCTAGAGACTTTTGTGATGAGAGCTGTGTAACACCCAATACTACACAGTGCTCAGCATGTGCTTGGAACCAGTTAACAGGGAGGAAAACCAACTATCCACAAAAAGGTCATAAGAGATGGAAGCATGGGTTATAACAAAAGGACGAGGTTCAGCAAGAAATTATTTTTTAACTAGTACACTGAGTATTTTACATTTGTACATGTATTTCTCAAATCATCCTTTGCTTGTGTGGCTGGGAGAAAGGGTGCAAATCTGCAGCCAGTGCTGTAACAGCAACATTTCCCTTGTGCTGCTCTTAGCCAAGGGGCTGCTCTTTGCTGTGTTTCAAAGGAAATGTAAAGATGTATCACAAACCTCACAGAATAACACTGCAACACTAACCTGTGGTGGCAGCATCTGTGCTAGTCTGCACAGCAAACTACAGGTATGGAGATACGGTAGCAGGAGCTAAATACTAGGTCTCCAAAAGGCATCTTCTGACTGGCAGAAGGAACTCAGACTCATTCTGTTGCACCTCCATTGCCTCCAGTGCCAGCAATAGCTCAAAGAAGCTAGGTGGGGCATGTCAAGGCACATTGCAAGCACATCTGCTTTTGCTGTGTAGACAAAACCTGACATTCTTACATTCAGCCTCCCCTAAGCACAGGCAAAAAAAGATTTTTTTTGTGGAGGATCAGTCCATGACTTTCAGTTATGTTTTCCTGCCTAACCCCTCTGTTATCTTGCACACAGGTTGGCAAATGGCCTAAATTAATTAAGTTCACAACACTGTACTTTAGAGAATGCTGGATCCAGGTAAAAGTAACTACTAAAATGGTCAGAAGTAAAACTACAGCTTTAATTATCTCCTGTGAAATTACTTGTTATAAACAGCAAACACTAACATTCTACTACTTAACCACCACTTCCATACTTACAAAAACTGAAGTGAAATTCCTGTTTTCTTCAAGGAAGCAATGATAATTTCCAGCTGATCCTCACTGACAGGACTCCTAAGGTCTGTAAACAGCTCAACGTGTCTCTTATCATATTTCTTTCCTCTTAAAATAAAAAAAAAGTATAT